GTTAATCCAGCTAAGAAAGAGCACCAAAAGACAGCCTCACCAGATCCATCCTTTTTGCGTGGTCCCAGGTGATTCAGGTGGGCAAATAATGGGAAGTATAGGACAGAAAAGGTGACATCACGGAGTGCTGTGGCAGCTGTACCCTTATAAAGGCCAACAATCCCTCTTTCCTTCAGGAGGTTCAGTGTGATGGCAGTGGCAGAGAGCTTGGTTGTGTGAGTTTGTTGAATCCGCCCAGCATCTTGTAACTGGATCTTGAGTAGCTCCATTGGAGTTGTTACAACAATCTGGCAAAGTCCAGCCAGTCCTCCTGCTGCCATCTCCCGATGAACTGGGAGTTTCCCTTCTTGGGTACGTAAGTGGTGCCGGAAGAAATCATTGCCTGTGAGCTTGATGGCCTTCTCTGGTGTGATGAGGAGGATGTTCACACCAGATCCACGGTACATGCCAAAGAATCCCTCCCTCCCCAGTGTCTTGCGGAAGCAATCCACAATGGACTTGTACATTAGCTCACCATTGGGTCCCACCTGCTGGTTCTGGAGACGTGTCTTCACCAGGTCCAGTGGGAATACACATGTGACACCAATAATCCCTGCTATACCACCATTAATTATCTTGGGAAGGAGGAGGAATCGTGCTGCCAGGCCTTTATCTACTGATTCTCCACTTCCCTGTTGTGCCATTTGTACTTGTGTGGCACACGTCAAACTAGTTGACTGTCCTGTAATTGAGTGGGGATACCTAGTAATTACATAATATATATGTTATTAAGCCATTCAAGAGATATCAGTCTATAGTATTGCAGATGGTCCTTTCAGGACAATCTGCAAGTATAATTTAGTTCAAGAAGGGATACCTAATTAGGATACCATAGACCTACTGGATTCTTAGAAAAGGCATATCACAAATTCCATGCAGCATAATTACAGTTGACTCCACATATTGGAATACTCATGGGACCAGCGAACTTTATTCTATATTCTGGAGTATTCCAATAACTGAAACTATCTGCTGTATTGTACCATAAATCAGGATCATGCAGTGTTATTCCTATAATGCAGAGTTGACTGTATCTAGGTTTATGATAATAGGCTTATCTACAGCAAGCATGTCAGATCTTATGCATTCACTTTGGGTTCATCCAAAGGCTTCAAGTGCCATCAAAACTGATTCCATATTGTGGCTTTGAATCTTTACATTTTACAGTTTCCATTCTAGCCAGGTACTATTCATAACAATTTCTGGCATTTATTTAGATATGCAGTAGGTAGTCAGAACCTGCCATAATATATGTCACACGTGAATCAAAACATTCAGTCACAATGAAATTATCACATCAATGTTTGATAAAAGGTAAACAGTGAGAGCCAATTAATTGGTAGGAATGAAATGATGATGGCAGCAGCAAAGGTCTCAGCCTCCTACCTGTTTTGGAGGTCATGTTTCTTTAATGCTTCTTAAATCACATTCCTGATTACTCCTGTCTAAGTATTGAATGGAATTATATAGAGGGTATTTCATGCATGGTTACCTATGACCAGCACCTGTGGGTATAGGATTACTGTGGTAAAAAATGCCTTGCTGAAAGCACCAACAGGATGGTCAATCATTTCACTCTTATCACTGTTCAAATAATTCTAAATTCCTTCTATATTCATTTAATATACATGAGTTTGCTAAAGGACAAAGTCATCAATGCATGAATTAGAACAGAGGATTGAAACTTCTGAAATTGGTTCACCTATTAAATGGTAACCACTTCCAACAAATAACATATTTTATCCATCTCTTCCTTGTCATGGGACACACTCCCCTAAAATAGGTATTGTGAAACATTGAGTGAAACACAGGACATCTGCCCACTCCAAGGGTACATCCCCTTGACCCCTGGCCATAAAGGTCAAAGGGTGAGGCAATGAATCTGCTAAAGAGATGGTAATCTCATGAATGGAAAAGTCCACCATCAAATGGATGCATTTATTTCAACAGTACAAAAATGTAAAATAGATCACAAGCTTCAAGCTGCCTCTTTGAACATTAACCCTTTGACGTCGGGTGACGCGTATACGCGTCCTGCGGGATTAGGTACCTAAAGACCTAAAGTTCGAAGAGACACATACTATGAGTGTATTTCATGTAACGTTGGCCTATGTATTGACCCTTGCTTCGCCCAATTTCACACTTTTAAAGCTTTCTGACCAAAAGATTGATGCTGATATCAGAATAAAAACTTTTTCTGAAAAGTGATTTTTGACCCAAAACAATCCCGACGTGAAAGGGTTAACATATATCAGTATAGGCACTTCAAGTTCAGCATGAATGGTGCTGAGCAAAAAATTAATTTCCATATAAATAAGATTTTAAAATATTGTACATTTCTAATGAGCAACTGTAGAGCAACACTGGAAAGTGTTCCTAAATGCAGAACTGAGGAATAAAAACAATTCCTATGAAGTCTATCTGTTGCTTTCAACAGTGGATGTACCAGACATTTGTCAGTGTAGAGAGAAATCGAGTGAACAAGTTGTCAGATTCTTACATTTTGGGCCTTGTTTGCACCTATCAAATCCCAAAATATAATTGAGAATTAAATAGCTGCCACAGTCAAACATAACAACAAGTTTAAATATGAGATACATAAGTTGGATCACCCATTTCATAGATGGGAGGCTGGGAAAGAGGAGGAGGAGGATGAGCCATGTGGGCCTTGATTCGCTCATAAGCCAAGAGCTTCTGTCTCCTCTTGTATCGGGAATGGACAGCACAGAGGACACAGCCTGCTATCAGAGCCCCAAGACCAACCAGGGTCCCTAAGGCCAGGATGGATGCTTCCACCCAGCCAAGTTGGTAGGCCAGAGTTGGAGATTTGAGGGTGCAGGGCTCAAGTCGAGCTACACTGTACTTTTGATACAACTCTTCCAGAGGGTGCAACCGATCCTGATCCAAGAGATAGCGAACATCTTGGGTGTCATAGACAGACTCTTCGGGTAGATTGATCAGCTGGAAGCAGGCAGAGCTGCGGGTGAGGTCCAGGCTCCCATCGCTTTGGCCAAGGTATGACAGATCGTGTAGATACAACCCAACAGGGATCTCAACCATCTTTTCCACTTCCTGACGGAAGTCTTGTAGCCAGTTCTGAACATCAGAAGGTGGGACATCGAATACAAACTTCATGAGGTCACCATCCTTCAACACAAAGGCCTGGAAGAGAACAGGAGAAAGTCAAGTTAGGAGCTAGGAAAGAAGGAAAAATTCCTTCCTATCATTTACCATTAACCCTTTCCACAATCACGACTCAACCACTTGTGTTTGCAATATGGACTGCCTAAAAAACTACTGGAACAGTCAAGCCAATGTAAGTAGCCTTGTTTACTTATCTAATCATTTTGTGTTAAAATAAAAGAAAAAAATATTTGAAATCCACCCGTCAAAACTAGGAATGTATTTTTTTGTATTATGCTGTGAAAACCCGACCTGGTAGTTCCAGTTTTCAATTAAAAAAAACTTGACCTTGAAAGGGTTTGAAATTTCTGATCCATATTTCCTTAGAATTTTATCCTCAGCCAGGTTCAATTTAATGTCTGATGTCCCACCCTGGACACTCACCATACACAATAGGAGTTTGTTTTCATCTCTTTTATAACAGGGTTTTTGGAAAAAAAAAATTTTTTGTGCATAACTTAGTGTCAGGGGAGGCCTGACATAGGACACACTGGAGAAAAATCTAAAGTCACAGTATAGTGGACTGGAAAAGGTTAAGCAAACAAACTGCTTTTTTTTTCAGCAAAATGATAAGAAGCAGAAAAAAATAAGTAGCGGCTTGCAAAAAGAAATAACATACTGAAATGTGTGCTTCAGCTGTCTTCCCATTATCAGCCTGAATGACCAGGTGAAAAATCCCACCAACATAGGCTGCAAGGCTTTGGTTTGCTTTTAATGATGAGCCATCTATGAAGAAGGCATCAGTAGCATTCTCCCACTTGTCAGAATAAAGACGGCGGAAGGTAACCGACTTGACTGAGTACACAATGGGAGCACTCTCAGGATCTGCATCCACTGCCTCTAGCTTCAGCACTTCTTCGTAGAGAGGGATTGATGGACGGATCCCTGCAATGGCAAAAGTCTCATTAGCTCACTGAAAAAGAACAAGGGAGTGGATAAAACAGGCTCCCATACCAAGTGACATGTTGCCAGAAGGAAATATGGGAAGGTTGTCATCAATATCCAACAGCATCACAGTCACATGCAGCTTGGAAGACTCCTATAAAACATTATGAAGTTATGGGTTCCAATATTTATATTATTCCTCTACCACTCACACTACCATAAAGATGAAAATTTTCACTTGGCAACAAATCCCACAATCTGTAAAGCTGTTCCCATATTTGGTCCTACAAGAAGTTCTTCAACCTGGCAATCATCATGTAAGTATCATTTCCTATTATGGACAACTCTCACAACCTACAGTACTCTGATTCTCATCAACCAGCTCTTTACAAATAAGGAGAAACCAAAGGAATTGTATATGAAACTTTGAACAATCTAAACTACATAATGGTTGAGATTTTGCTTACAAGAGGATTTTTCTCAGCATTGGCTGGAACACACTGAATGATGAAATTGAAGATATGTCTCTCCTCTCTGTTCAACCTGGCCCGGCTGAGCAATATAGCCTCATTGTTCTTGGCTGTCTTGATGTCAAAGTGCCGACCACCCTCACCTATAGAGAAGATAGCACTCCAAGAAAGAATTTGTTGAAAATGGTATGATGGAAGAAAAGTGATGTATAAATACCAAGTAACTTGTACTGGACTAAGGCATTCTTGCCATCGTCTTCATCTATGCACGAGAAACGACCAATCTCAGTGCCTGCTTCCAGCTCTTCTCTTGCACGCAGTTCTGCTCTTGTCTAGGAGACATAAGATCAATACATTGCATCTTATTTGCCTCATTAGTTCTTCAAAGAATCTGAGCCAACAATTCATGAACCAGAACTTGAATCATTTATGAACAGAACATACTGTGACAAAATGAGGGAGATGATCATCAATATCAGAAACTTTGACCCGAAGTTCCCGAGAAACGTGACGAGCAGGAGAACCCAAGTCCTTGGCCACAATGACCATCAGGTACTCCTCCCTCTCCTCTCTATCGAGGACCTTCCCCGTTGTGATCACACCAGTAACAGCATCTGTAGATAGTTGAAATTGATATAAGGCTTGTCTTTGGTCAGACTGAGGCAGAACACATTGTCACTAACCAATGTGAAAAGATCTCTGAAAGTCATCAACAAGGGAGAATCGCAGCTGGCCATTGAGGGTTCTTGAATCATCAGGATCCATGGCCACAACCTGATAAACTGCTGCTCCAGGAGGTAAGTTCTAAGCAAGCAAGAATTGGCAAGAAAAATATCGACAGCTGCTCTGCAAACAAAGCTAAACATGAAATGAAATCCACTCAAACAAGGGGAAAAGTGTTAGTGTGAATAGAAACTATCACATGATCATTCAGGGATGAAAGAAGAGCAAAACAGGACAGATCCAGACAAGTCTTATGAAGAAATTTCAGAGAATCAGAGACACAAAAGCCATGTCAAGGAATAGAAGGGAAGAGTAGCAGACCCACCACCAATCAAGATATGTCCCAACAAAGACCCAGGAGGCCCTTGAACACTGAAAAGGTCCCTTGCTATGGAAAATGAACAATGACAGATTCAGTCCAGCTTTCATGAAGGGTATCTTCCTTTCATTCAACTTACCTCATCAACAGACACAGTGGTTCGCAGAGGAGGTCTGATGAACGAGGGGACTCCATCATTCGATGAAACATCTCCAATGAAAAGTCGGACTAATACCTCAGAGCTGAGGGGAGGCTCCCCTCGATCCATAGCCCTCACACGCAGGAGGTAAGGCTCTGAACGCCCTTTCCCAGCCAATGATGAGGCCACACGTAATGACCCATCTTCACGATCCATTTCAAACAGACCTACCAAAATCACAAATGTGAAAGGAAGAGACCTACGTCAAAAATCAATTTATAAAATAAATGCAATAATAGGGAGCTGACCTTCAGCATCTCCATATGAGGCTATGGAATACTCAATTTGTCCATTTAGACCCTGATCAGGGTCTCGTGCAGAGAATAGGCCAACCTGGGTCCCAACAGGAGTGTTTTCAGGGAGGACTAACTGATAGGAGTCCTGTGGGAAATGGGGTGGATTGTCATTCACATCCACGACCACGAGTTCCACCTAATACAGGATAGAAAAAACGTGACGCTTTAGCTGACTGGCACTCAACAAAAAAATGTTGCAGAAGCTGAGCTCTCACCTGAACAGGAGTACTTCGCTGCTGAGGATCCCCGTCAGGACGGTCCTTTGCAAAGACCATGAGTTTGTGCTTCTCCTTGGTCTCTCGGTCCAAGGACATGTTTGGCCTCAAACGGATCTCCCCAGTTTGAGCATCAATGTCAAAAAGCTCCTTCTCAAGTCCTGAGATGGCATAAGTCACACCCCTCCCATCAGCATCCTTATCCTTTGCACTCACACGGACCAGAACCTGTGGGTGGTGCACAGATTCGGGGACCTGGATCTTGTACATGCTCTGGAGGAACTCAGGGCTGTTGTCATTAATGTCCTTCACTTGGAAGGCCAGCTTGGCCAAGCTCATTCGTCCATCATCTGCAACTGCTTCAATGTCTAGGCCCATCATCTGGAAAGAAAACAAACAAGAGTCACAACCAAATGATGATTGCAATGAAAACAGGTGTTGATTAGGTTTCATTCAAACATCTCATCTTCTAGAAACCTAGATGTACTTTGCAAAAAATAGTTGTAGTAAGAGCTGAATGAAAAGCTTCATTACATGAAACTATATACAGGGTGTTCATATTTAAACGCAACATAGGGAAATATTTGCCACCAGTTTGTGGAGTTCAGTGTGTGCCCTATAGCTCACCAGGTTGCATATCTGGAAGGATGAAACTTATCACTGGTGTGTTTCCTAGTAGATAGGCAACCCGGCATGCCTTATTGCGTTCGCTGACCTCCACCTACAGGGGGCAAAATATTCCCTATGTTGCGTTTAAATACGAACACCCTGTATATATTTGGCGATCAAAGGACATTCCTAATGATAAGCAGTTAAGTGACTGAAAGGCATACTTATACTAATATCTTCAAAAGGGAAAAAAAGGCAAGAACTGAATTCATACAATAGCATGAATTTGAAAACCATGAAATTTGCATGAAGTACACCCAATATTACAAATACAAGCCATAGCATTCAGCTACACACAGACATACAATTAAGCAATATAATTAATTTGCATAATTAATTTCTCTTGGAATGGATGTCTTTACTTGTTAAGTAGAACTAAGGCTGTAACAGTGGCCACACTTTACCTATGGCTGAATATTAACTATGATCTAAGGCTGGATATGATTTATCAACCTGAACTATAGAAGGTGCATTGATGCATCACAGGAGGAGGGAGGGAAGGGATTCAGTCATCTCTCCATTTCAATCCATTTACAAAGCCATATTCAGATTTTTTTTTCCCTGCACATTATTATTTGGGCATCAGCAGCTTGCAAAACTACCAATGGCACCAATGGAGCCATACCAGTGGCCAATGCCAGTGGTACAGACCTAATATAAACTAAAATAGATACCATTCAGAAAATCGCAAAGACAGGCTGCCTAGATTACATGACCAGTGTTGCAAGAAATCTCACCTTTTCAGGCATGGCATCATAGTCAAGTCGTTTGTTGAGAGTCACAACTCCAGATGAAGGACTGACAGAGAAATAGTTCTCAGGATCTGAACCCTCAACCTCCTGGAATCGCAAGGACCGACCTTCCCTCACGGGATCAAATGCCTTTAACGTGTACAGGTGGGATCCAATGCGCATCTCCTCATCCAGGGTGATATTAATACGGGGGACAGATGGGCTCCAGCCCCCTGCAAACACTGGATCAGTGTGGTTGTATGCCTGGATGTACACTGTCACCTCCACTGTTAAGCAAGAGTGTACAACATTTTCAATTGGGAGCTTATGAAAAATAACTACTTAGTTGACTTAGTTCTTACTTCTAAGTACTTCAAAAGGGAACTTATACTAAATTAGTACTCTTACTACCCAAGGCTTTGGAATTATAAGGAATCTGCAGAACTATCAAATGTTGCCCAGCAAAAGGCTCAAAAGGAACTCATATTGGAAAAATCAACAATTGCAAGACTCAACTACTGATGCAATGTGTCTGCAATTAAATAATGGATAGCATTCTAATTGTCACAGTGGCCAGATCTGTTTCAGCCCCTCACTAACCGGTGTCATTCTGACGTTCCACACCAGCCACATCCACTACTTCCACCTGGAATCGGAATCCAGAAGTCTCGTCGTGAGACAGTGGTCGATTCACACGCAGGATCCCTGAGTCTGAATCAATTGAGAAGGCATCCTTGTATATGCCCTCTTGTTCAGCACGAAGGAGTTCCAAGCCTGCCTTGTCAAACACCATCATGGACTGGGGCAGAAGGGCAAACTGGAGTTGTGCATCCATGTCAGGGTCTTTGGCCTCAATTCGGGCTATCTCTGTCCCCACATGGGCTCCCTCTGACACATACACCTGAAATCCAGTATAGTACATTAAATTAGCCAATTGCATTCCTTGGAATATAACCACCATGAATGAAATCCCAAAAAGGCTACTCATAATAAAGTTAATGGCAACCAGAAGTATGTTAGATGTCACACATTAGAAACAGTTTCCCAAATTGAATCCAATATCAAGATTAGTTTAAAGTAGTGTGGGGGGGGGGGGGGGGGGCAACAGCCCAACTTCTAATTGACTTTTTTAAATTTTTTGGGGGGGGGTGGGGGGGGGGGGGGGGGGGGGGGGGGGGCCAACAGTCCAACTTCTAATTGACTATTTTAAATTGCTCTTTTTCCAAATGAATTCAAATTTTAAAATGTATTGATGTTCAAATCTGCTGTCACTACTTTCCAGCAAATTGACTTTCACTTATGCAGCCCACCCAACGCTTGTGTTGTTACATCTGCTGGTTATGACAACACTATGGTAAGCCTACTATGACTTCTCCCACAATGAAAGTGGAGTCAGGAGTGTGTGCAGGCCTATCCTGAAGTTCAAAAATCTTGCAGCCTTACTCACTTGGTGGGCTTAAGGTTACAGGTTACAGCTGTAGAATCCCTTTTTTAACCCTCTATTACATTATGATGCCAGTTGGCATCAAAACAAATTTGAGAACAAGAATAGAGAACAATTTTGAATGTGTATTTTGCCAAAAAATGCCAAAAGGCATCAAACTTCTCACAGGCCACTGCTCCCCTTGAAAAAATCCTGAGCTAACATTTTTTCAAATTCAAACTAAATGATTGCTGGCACAAGACATTTTTTCTACCAAATTTTCATAATTCATGGAATAGAAGGTTAGCATATGGCCTAAACTCTAATTCTAATAAACTCTAATATGGCCTCTAATTTATTGGCCATGAACTTCAAATTTCATGGCCAATAAATGCACTCACAACTCTAAATCTTTCATTCCTTACAATTCATGGTGCCTATGGAACTTCCTAGCAGTCCTCTATCTATAAATATTAGTAATTACCAACATCACGTTCCAGAATGTTCAACTTATATGCTGAAGTCCATCCTAAGAGAGGATTGTAGTTGCAACTTGAAAGTCATGACATCCAAATGGAGTGCAAAAACAATCTGACTTGCCAATAAAAGACTGACTATCCTTTGTCCAAAACTACTCTGACAAGTCATGGTAATGAAATAAAAAAATAACTTGAATTTTCAATAAGCTGTCACAATAGCAGTTACCATCGCAGATGGTGGTTGACCATCGATGCATCGACCTGAACTATCGATAGCAAAGTGGTAAAAATAAACATTCCAGGGAAAAGGAGCGGTGGCCAGGTGTGCTGCCCTGATTAACGTGGGAAAAAAGTGTCTTAATGATCCCTTGGGATCCATGGATATGAATTTATTCATAAAAGAATTCTCACAACTGAAAGGAAACGGTCCGTTTGCATTCTCAGGAACACTTGCAACTTCGTCGCAATATATCCCGCCTGAGGAGAGGAGGCGTTCAATGGATACAGACGTTACAGGAATTGGAAAGTTTATCCATGCTATTCTCGTGAGTTTCAAGTAACTTCTCTCGTTCTCTCTCCGGAAATCCAATGGATTGGTTTCCCCATTCCTGCAGGTATCTGATTCATACAGACAAACTATGTCGATCCTTGTCAGCTCATTCTCATTCGAGACTTTCGTATGGCTCTGCAATTTCATGAGTCCTTCAAATTTCATCACTTAAGGTCACGGTGGAGCGCTTGGGTATTGTGCACGAATTCTTCCCCCATATCGCCGGATGGTTCCAAGTGATATGTGTGACAAGGAGAATTACTAATCGGTGCTTGGACCAATGAATATACTAATGGGCTATCTATGTTTCATTTAGCATGGGAGAAGTTAATTTCCAAAGAAATGCCAGCGGGCCGGATCCGTCACAACATAGGTTTCTGGTTTGAGTAAATAAAATGCACGTCGAATTTTACCACGAGTGTCTTTTTTATTATTGCGCTTCTCATTCTTGAAAAAAAGAAGGACTCATGAAATTGCAGAGCCATACGAAAGTCTCGAATGAGAATGAGCTGACAAGGATCGACATAGTTTGTCTGTATGAATCGCCCCCCCCCCCCCCCCCCCCCCATCCTAGTGACCCTCGTTCGGTGTCGCGCCTCCTTTCTCCGACAGGAGTACCAAGAAACTGAACCCCACGGATGCTTTTTCATATGATGATAGAAAAAATAGGAAACGGATTGTAACGGTTCAGGGACCGGGTCACGGCTAGGAATCAGATGATCATTCGCCTAATTTAATGAGAACGACGCTCACATGCTTCTGGGTCGAATGATCGAACAGGACGGTAACAATAACGGCGCAAATCTAATTTTCGAAGAGCTGACAGAGAGTCTTCGGAAATTTTTACATGTCGCGTCCCCAGTTTGAGAACCCCCGGGAAATCTGGTTCGCACCGTTCATTTCACTTTCAATGTGGCCCGCCATTCCGAAACTTTGGACACTCTTGCTCTAGGATATGAATCTGGTATCGAGAACATTACCATTCGGGAGAATAAGCGCAAACTAGGCAGAATTTATTCACCAATATCTGAAGAAGAAACATGCGTATGCTGCCTGAGAGATTTTTACAAGAGCAGTCGCTTGAAATCGTGAACTATCAGTGTTTCGCCCTCCTTTCCTCGTCATGGCTGGAATTTTTTTTTTTGAAGCTACGCGAGACAATCCATGCGAGAGGTCCAGTATAAAAAAATTATACCTCCAGGCTAAGCGGGATTCATTATCGGAAACGGCAGGAATATAGAAAGGAGGTTCAACTAATGTACTGTACAATGTGTTCCACTTAAAACGCAATCAAACAACAATCACGTACTACAGTAAAAAAAAAAAAAAATGAAGTCTTGTCTTCGTGAAGGTGATGGACATTTTCAGCATCTGCTGTGAAGCTGTTCTGTACGTTCCTGTAATATTCTCCCTAACAAATAAAACCAATAAAACAATTCGTTCGTCTTGTTTTATTGCTGTTGTAGGGTAAAAGACCCAGTGATGGGCCTGTTAATGGCAGGTACTCAGTGATGGGCCACATAGCAGGAAAATTCTAAAAACTATGCATTTGTTCCATGAACACCTCTAAAGTGTCTATGTGCTTGAATGCTGCTAGCATATGTCACAAAATGGGTAGGCTTGCTATGGAAGCTTAGGTATTGGAATTTTTATGTGCTGTGGCCCATCACTGGGGACCGGTCCATCACTGGGTCTTTTACCCTACTTTGGGTTGCGTTTTAAATTTTAAACCCAGTATATTACAAAATCCCGAGATACACGTTCACAGCACGCACCTGATAAGATCATGCTGAGGACTGAAACTGAAGAAAAAAAAATCCCAGCCTTTTCTCCCTCGCCTCCCTAACTTTTTGTCTCTGGTGCAAAAGAAAAAATTATTTATTTTCCTTGTCTCATACAGTACAGAACAGTCAGTCTGACTGGGTGATAGAGACTCGCAAGCTCATACGGATCACGTCAACTCTCTATTTCCCGGCTCGGACGGACTGTATTCGCCTTATTTCGATAGGAAAATTCTCCATTCAGAATTTTGTCAATACATGTCGATTGCAGAAAAACCGTGGATACTTTCTCCAACCATCGATTGATGCAACGGGCCATCGCAACAGCCTTATTTTCAAAGTTCTCAACAGATGTTCACCATATCGGCATAATCGATATGCAATGACACTGGTACACAATTCGACAAACTGGCACTCACAGGAGTGGGAAGGGAGATGCGAGGGGGCTCATCGTTGACATCCTCAATAGTGATGTTGACATATGCAGATGTTGCACCCTGGTTGGTGTCTTCAGCCTCGACCAGCAAGCTGTACATCTCCCCCTGACTTTCCCTGTCCAGGTGGGCATCTTCCGAGACAAAAATTTCTCCAGTGCGCTCATTGATCTTGAAATTGTCATTCCCACCTTCCAGGATTCGGAAACGAATGTCCTCATCGTTCCCATCTGGATCGTGTGCTGAAAGCTAAAGCCAATTCGTCTTCAAATACTAATTCCATTCTTTCTTTTTATTATAAAAGAACTTCATACTCTTCAAGAGAACGTGGTATGACGAGGGGCCACCGCTTAAAACAAAAACAAAAAACTTTCTTTTTCAACTGTGTCAAGTGAACTATGACCATGAAAGGGGTAGACTGCAGTCAAAATAAGGGGTTGGCGGTGCCATATTTTGTCCATGTCTGATGTGCTGATATTCTAATCCTGGGAATTTGGTTTCTAAAATCTGATTTTACGAAATCTTAGAATTGACATTTTTCTCATGATCTACCCAGTGTCCAGGCATACAATGGATCCTCAACATGTTGACCGCCACGTGACTCGCTGGCGTCACCGCGAAAGTTTTTTGCTACGAGTAAAATTGTCTATCCTTCCTGCCAAGCCAAGAAGTTATGCATACTTAATCATAATTAAGAAAGGTGACTGTAGTACCAGGAATACAAAAGGATGTCCTACAACGATTGGTTATAAATGTAGGACTGCTTATGGCACGCCGGCGGCCACATGGCGTCATGGGAAATTTGCAGTGTGACACGCCGGCATGTCATGGGTGCCATATGAAAGAATTACCGAAACTATCTTGGCGGTCAATGTATTAAATATGCCTAGGCCTTGAATTACATTAAGCTTGGCCTTGGCCACATATTGGCACTCACCTGTTATAATGAATATCAAATATATTATAAATATTACTGACACTTAAGTTAATATTTTAAAATATTGCTATTATTGGGAGATAACCGATAACAAACAAAATATTATTGTAATCCAAGTTGAAGGTCACCAAAATGACAGAGTTTGGAAACTGAAGATAAATTTTATTGCTTCAGCACCTGGTGCAACTACAAACCAGGCAGCATTGTTACATTTCCTCTGTCAATCATATACTTAGGTCTCATTCTAAAGCATGAAACACTTGGCAGTGGGGGACAAAATGACAAAAGTTTTCAAATTTTATGAGCATCAAAAGTTAAGCATACCTTTAGGCAATATTAGTATTTCTTATATAATCAGAACCTCCTCAAAGAGGAGAAGACATCATCCACGGAGACATCAAACAAGGTACAAAAAAAGTACTTTTCCAAAAGGGACTTATGTATTATTATGCCTAAAAAATACTAAGTCAGCTTCACTGGACCATTTAAGATAAAATGAACCACTACTTTATGCTGAAACAAATTGAACTACTATGCTGTGCTTGTAAAAGCACCTAAGTTCATACTGCCTATGTCTCTTTGAAACAAAGAGAAAATATTTGTCAAGTCAATAAGGCATTTGCACCATAGAAGCTAAATGTTACAATGAATTTAATCTTAATGCATGGAATCATTTTGACATTACTTGCAGTCTCTGTTGAAAAAATATAAAATGTGTGTTGAATTTTCCTCAATAACAATTCCAGATTCCAATATTCTATTTAGCCTCTCTCAACTCAAGTTGAAAACTTAAAAAACCAGTAAAAAAAAAACAAAAAAACAAGTCACAATAACCAGACTGACAAACCTGGAGCACAGCGGTGTTGGGGCTGGCATCTTCTCTGACAGATACTTTTCCTGGAAGATTCCTGAATTCAGGAAAGAGGTTGTCCCGGATGCCAACAGAGAGCATGACCTTGACTTGGGCGGTCTGTGGAGGATCTCCATTATCCCTAGCCTCAATGGTTAACCTCACCCTTCCATCTTCTTTTGTGAGTGGGCGCCTAAGGGTGACATCACCTGTCTTAGGATCAAGGGCCACAGCCTTATCCTCTGTATTACCAGCAATGATGTGGTAAGTTATGTGCCCATTCTCCCCACTGTCACCATCTTTTGCCTGCAGAGTAAAAATACAACAAATTAAGCATTTCTTAAATGTTGAAATATAATACAATACAAAGTGGCATAGCAGTAATAGCAATGGGCATTCAATAAATTAGGGCAATTGCCCTTTCTTTTCCAACAAAGAAAAGCAACAAAGTGTATACCACCACATCCTAAACATGCAGATGCCATTACTTCTTCATCAGCCACTTATTATATTTATGGTACTCATACTGAGGTATGCTGAACTGACACTTTCTCCAAGATCTGAATCCTGTACAAAATGTTCAGCTCCAGCACAACATGTGATATATTTTCATTATAGTTAGTTTACATAGCTATAAGAATTCTTGTATATTCAGGAGTTAAAATGTGTCACTAATCACTAATGAGTCATTAATAAGTAAGCAACAACATGCAGATGTTGGGAGTGAGGCATGTGCAGGTATGACATTTTTTACTTTAATATGTAGGAAATTAAAGAGTGTTGGAAAAACTAATCACATGTGGGATACGAGTCTAGCATTAGCCAATTATAGGACACAACATGAAAAAAGATGCAACAGGAGTAACAACTCAGATCAGATCAATAACCAACTTCAATCAAGCTGTGCCAAAAACAAATCTTGGAAGCAGATGTGTTCAGCTCCAAATGATTACAGGACAGACAGAGTAGGAATAAGATGGCATGGTGCAGTCCTTTAAGGCATTCTTTTAGCCTTCTCTCATGTATGGCTATCGAGTTTAACCTTGCAATGATGGCATGATCTCTTTAATCTGGTGGTTTTACCCATTTGTCAATACCTTAGAATGGGGCTTGCAGGATGGCATTGATGGATCTAGGACTTTGACAGCTACTTTATGCAGAGAAGGACTAGTTAAAATAGTAATATTTAACAAAGCTAAAGATCATATATGTAAAATGTTGGAGATACAGTAAATCCCTCAATATAATAAAAACCTCCTTGTAATAAATATTTTATCAAGTCCCTTGGACTTTATTAAGTCTTAAATAAAATAAATGGAGTTACAGTGAACTGATGAAAGCAAGAACTTCTGTCAAGAATTCAGAATATTATATGGCTTGGAACATACATGGACACGAAGTGGTGGTAAGAGTTCCTGGCTGCCATCTTCCAGAAATAGCCGATACTCTGGGACAGGAAAGATGGGTGCATGGTCGTTGACATCAGTGATCTCAACAACCACATTGGCTGTTGCCACCTTTCCACCTCCATCTATTGCCTCCAGGGTCAGTGAATACATTTTCTGTCTCTCATGATCTAGGCATATTCCCTTCAAGCACGAACGAGAGACCCGGAGCTCCCCAGTCTTGCTGTCCAGTTCAAACTTCTCTGACCCAAATCCTTTGAGGCTGTAGGTGACATCTCCAAAGACAGATGAATCTAAGTCACTGGCTGATAGGGTTTGAATCAGGGCCCCAGGTTCCACATCTTCTGCAACCAGGAGCTTGATATCGTGCCAATCAAATGTGGGTGAATTATCATTGGCATCAGTCAACTGGATCTTCACCTTGGCTTCATTTACAACCTCCCCGTGTTGAATGACCTAGAATCGAACAAGTTTGCTCACACAGGTTGATTTCAAAATGGCAGTTCAATTGTAGTTGGTAATATTTTCACTTCACACTATGGCATGACTGTAGTTCCACTGTGCTCATGTTGACTTCTACCACAAAGAAAACCCAAATGGAGCTGTAACTGAACTAAAATAGGGAATAGCAACTGCAACTAAACTGCAATTTACATTCAGCCACAGTATTCCTCTAATAATGGGCAAAATTTCCATACTGATTGAAACCATGTTCTGTACAACTTAGTCAACCCCATAGAATAGGAAGAAATGGTAATAAAAGCACAGCTCTATATGAAGGAAACTTGTCTTTCATGCATTGATAAACTCAGTAACAGATGCACATATATGCCAATTCAGAAATGTTGGGAAGATTACTGGTACAGAAGGTACATTTAACACAACATAGAGACATAATTGTTTCTGGGATTATTCACTTTAAAAAATTCATTATCATATGAATAGATCTATATATCCCAGTATAGAAAGACAGAACATTACTCACCTGTACAGTGAGTGAATGATTCTGCATCTCAGGTTGGTCATAGTCCAGTTTAGAGGGATCATGAACTGTGATGACAATTGGGGTGCTGCCCTGGGCTTCCTTTGGTGAGACATCAAACACTTGATTTGGGTCATCCAGTCCCAAGCTATACCGCGAGTTCTCTCCCAAATCCCCATCAGAGACATGCAGATTTAGTCCTGGAATTGCTTCCCCCTTGCCTGAGAGTGCCACATTGAAACTGGCTTGAATGTCCAATCATGGTGATCAATAATAAAAAAGTTTTAAAAAGCAATCTAACCCAGGTACTCCGGGATGGAGAGTGAAACTGATCTGATGTTAAACTGTGGAAGCTGGTCATCTGTGTCTTCAACAACCACTGTTATGTTTGTGATGGTGGAATCACCTCTTCGAGGCCTCCCACCTTGGCTTCCAATCATCTCTGTTGCCTGTAATGGCATCCAAGGTAAATTACAGTAAGCACTGTGCCATGTGACTGAGCAAATCTACTCAGTTGACACAAACCTTGACTTGTACAGTATAGAGTCCAGCACTTCCAAGGATGCTAGGGTGTTCACGATCAACAGGAATGGGGGAGGTCACAAGTCTGGCTTCTCCTTTCCCATCATCAATAAGATGGAAATAATCAAGGGGGTCAGACACCTTTTCCAAAATGACAGGACGGGGCCGTCCAAAATCCCCATCTTCCGCAGATATATGTAGCACTGTGACATTCTGTGGATACATGTTTTGTGGTGAAGGATTAATTCATTACAATGAAACAATCCAAGAAAGAGAAGAGTGAAATTTACCTGCGGTGTGTTTTCTTGCACTACAATTGAATAAGGTGCATTATGAAAAACAGGTGCCTGGTCTTGTTCATCAAGGACCTCAATGATGGCCTTCACAGCAGCTGTACGCTGGTTCTCTGTCCCCCGATCATGGGCCTTCAATGCCAAGTGAAAGGAGCTCCTCTCTTCATAATCCACAGGGACTCTAACAGTCACCAGGGCAAGAAATCGACCCTCCTTCAGCCGAAAAGGCAGGATGGAGAAGTGCTCACATGCTTGGGGGCTCTAGAACAAAAAGGTAACTAATAATTTGAATTCCATTCATGAATGGCTCCTTTCCTTTGGACAAAAAAATATTCTGAAAGAATTGTACAATTAAACCCATATACTTGAACATACCTGAGCTTCATCACATGCTATGACCAGTTCTGCATTGGAGCCACCATCAGCATCTGTTACCAAGATTTCTCTGAACACAGTTGCACCCACTGAAGCAGATTCCGGAACAGAAAAGGAGTATGGGAGATTCTGAAACTCAGGAGTATTATCATTCACATCAAGCACATTGATTTCTCTTCTCAGTGACACGATGTTTGGTTCAGAGGAGTTTCCTATTGGTTCATCTGTGGTAGTAAAAAAAGTGAAAGTACCAATCAACATTATGTATACACCTGGAAACCTATATGAGTGATGATCAATACCTACCTTGGATACTAATGATGACCTCAATCATGTCTTCCTTTTCCCTATCCAAAGGTTTGACCAGTGTCACTTTGCCAGTACTTCTATCCACACTAAAATAGTCACCACTGATGCTGTATGAAACTGAAGAACCTTCTGGGTCCTTCCCTTGAAGAGTATACACAACACTATCGATTGGTGTATCCTCTCGCATTGAGACCCGATCCATGTCTTTGCCAGGAAGAAATTCTGGAGCACGATTGATGCTGGACTGCGCTAAGGCAATGCTATGCTGGCCCAGGAGCCAAATAAGTGCAAAGAAGAATGCCATCTTGGGTTGACAGAGGCCAGGTGAAAGGCAAGGTCTTCCTGGCTGGGGTTGAAAGAAACTGTAGGCCTAGGCCTGACTTAACTCAGCTCACATTGTCATTGGAAGACTACTATCTCCATCTTCTTCCTCCTGTGGAAACAGCACACATATGCATTCCTATATGCACAAGATGTTTTGTAGTATTTGTTCTTCCATGCTTTCCTGGAAGATCTAGGATTATCTTATGTATCATGGCCAAACAGCTTAACATTAAACCTACCGCTTTCATCCACAACAGTAAAAAGTCTATCATTAGCCATGACTACTTAACTTTCTATGTCTTCTCTGATCGTCTCATAAATATAACGTTAGGCCTACTTCAAGCATGAAACAAAGTCCTTCCTGACTGTAGCCTACAGACAGAAAGCATAACGTTAGGCAAAGTTACCCACCTATGATATGAATGTAGGTTTAACCGGCATTTTTTTCCTCAATATTTTTTTTTCCCTAATAGGTTCTTTACGTCTTGTTTCTTTCTTGGCACTTCCCGGGTGTCGAACTCAACTCAAAACTAGCAACGCTAGGCCTACGCAGGGACCTTTACATTGGCATTATAGTTCTCTGGAATTCTTCAGCCTAGGAGTGGAAGATGAAATGCCTGGTTCAAAGAGGCCGCATGTCCAAACAATCCATAATTGCCTACAGTGAAACAAAACACAAATAATAACTCGATAAGGCCTCAACTGAAGGGCAGAAAGAAAGACTGGTCTATCTGAAAAAAAAAATCATTTTTCAAGCTTCAAAAGCGTGAAACTTCTAAGACCGTCTCAACGAAAGCGAGGGAAATCCATAACAGCTTTTCACCAACAAAAATCACCATCTACAACCTTTGATGAATGGGAGTCTAAACATCATAGACCCATTTTCCGTTCCTTACTTTTTTTGCGGACAGACCAGTTTTACCTTTGCACCCCATCAACTATTCATAAGTACCATCGATATCATGCTACACAGTGAGTCGCCATGTTAGAAACAACGGGTCAAGGTTTGCGTGCGATAGGCTGTCGGCAGAAAGAGGAGGCGTGGATTCCCGTTTCTCTATTTGCGTGATGCGATTCGCAAATGAAAACGTACAACCCTAAACATGGGCTCAATTGCTTTGATGCACTGAGCTATGGAATAGATCTGATGCTGGCACGCCCATAGGAAGAGCATGGGCATGCGTGCTGCAATTGGAAGTCAAAGAGGTTGGTAGGCAACTCTCGCGGCTCTTGGCCGTTCCACTGAGCTCAGTTATTGGGCTTGGGAGACATCCGCTCACTTCCCAACATGTACTATGTAAATAACACAAAAAAATTTTAAAGGTGATGCGAATTCCTAGGAAGATCACTGCATGCATTCTTGTGTGTGCTGGTGCTTTTAAAGAAGCTCGGTAAACAAAAAGGTATTATCCCAGCGATTATTCTTAGATCTTTCTTGTAACCTACGAAAACAACTCAAGGAACTTGAGTTTGCAGATTAACGTAGGGCAGTACGGCTAGACAGAGCCTGTGAATTATTACAGCCTCACATTTCCATCGATCCGATCTCCACGATAAGAGTGTCCTTGGAGGAAACGGGTTTTTCGATGTCCTCGAATTCCCTTCGCAGACTCAGCCTGATCGTTGAGTGTTCACCGTAAACATGGGGCGTGTGAGGATTGCTGTCGTGGGTGGAGGCGTGGTGGGCATCACGACGGCGACTCGAGTGCAGACAGAAATCCCCAACGTCCACGTGACGGTGTTCAGCGAGGACTTCACGCCAGATACGACGGGGGATGGGGCGGCGGGGATCTGGGGGCCTTTCCTCGATCAAGGGACGCCACCCGACAAAATCTGGTGAGGCACTTTCACGGTCTTCTGCGTGATCGAACCGAGGGAATCGATGCTCACTCTAGTTTTGAAGGACGTGACAAACGCTACACGGTTCTTACCGATTCCTTGTCTCTTCTCGTGTCCTATCTTACGTCTCGGCTGCTTCTACGAACACTGAATATTCCTAGAATAATTCCTCGTTCCCCCTCGAAGGCGTTGGAGCAAAGAGACTCACGACCTCCTGGAGTCCCTGTGGAAGGAAGGGAAAGCGCCCGAGGCAGGCGTTGCCCTTTGCAATATCGTCGCCGTTTTCTGGGATCCGGAAGCTCCTCCGCCGTTCTGGAAGGACATCGTGTATGGATTCAGGCTCCTCACGGCAGAGGAGATGACGAGGTACTCGCCGTACAGGTGAGACTTGTTCGCATCGATGATGTCCGCAACTGTTCCCATAAATGGACTGAATGATTCGTTCACGTGCCGATTAAAGATAGAAACGGCGCCACGATGGTGATCCGTCTCCTGATTTCTGCTTTAATTCTGTTCTTTGAGATTCTCTTTTTGAAATCAATAACGCATGATATTGCCTGATCAGAAGACAGGCGGATTCACAATGCAGAAAGAATGCTCTAAGGTGCTTGTGTTCTCTCACCCTTCCTAATCGAAGAGGATTGCGATTGGATCTCTTTCGTGTCCGACTGACATATTCCCAATGTCTTAGCACAACCGAACTGGGACAAGAAAAGCTGGGCACCATAGGTACCACTTGTGTACTATTTTGTATATCATGGCTGAATTAAGAAGACGAATAACTAGGAAAATTTTCCAAAAATTCTCTTCATAGCCTTGCTTTTGCTTCAACATGCTTGAATAATAGCCTGCTTGAACAAACGATGTATCCGCAAATAGCCCTCATTGAGAGCTATCAAATGGTACCAATTAAAACCGTTTTTTTCAAATATAGTAGCACAAGAGCAGTCTCAAAAGATATTATTCTTATAATGATCATACGCGATATTAAGCAAAGAGATAGTATAAACAATCCTCTAGTGGGAATGTCACTCTGCCACATTTCGAGCGCTGATTTGAGAATATTCGCCAAATAGAAACAGCATTTTAAATTCAAATTCGTCTCACAATCCCCGTTTCGGTGAACCTTTTTCCAAATGATTTGTCATGGTGACTTGAAAATTTCTAAAGCACTCAAGAATGCTTTAGGAATTTTCCCTCCCGCGTGGGAAGTATTCCGAAAAACACATATTTATACGTCCTTACGACATGAACACAGGTAGAGAATAAATTATTTGAGTGTGGATTCCATAAGTAAATTGCTGAATATTCCTGATACCGATTATCGCACAGAGGACGGTTATCAAGACGTGAGATTAATAGTATTTCCTATTTTGGCTCAATTTCAGGCCAGTCCATTTTCTCATGATTAAAAAGTTTTATGGACGCTGGAGTCCATATTAATGCACACTCCTTCCTTTAGGATTCCGTTATTGACAAAGTCTTGTGATCTTTAAGCCCTCCCTGTGAGGCCTCTTAGGTTCTAGTAATAGATTGCATTTTACCAGCTTCAGGGCTGAGACGTGACCTGCAAGTACATGAGCGTCAGTGTAGATCCAATCCATCCAAAATACACGTTGATGAAGGGGTAATCCAGCCCCCGAACGAGCCATCCATTTCTTTATAAATTCTCTTCTACTTCATCATCCACTCCAAGCCCAACAACCTCCTAAGCCCCACGGGCGACAGGCAATCCATGTCCACTGACCCCTGAACAACTGGCTCCATAACCACGCCTTCCGCAGCGCCATATCCGGACCACATTCCTTCACCTATATCACAGCTAGCCACACTTCTTGTCCCTATAATTCAACTCATGACCATTAGCTTCTTACTTAGTCCCGGTACCGGACGCTGCTGCAGAAGCATAAATATTCGTGAATGATTTCGGAGTTCTGTGAGCCTATTGGGAGCACCGTAGAACCCCCCTCCCCCTAAAATGCATCCGGATGTATGATTAATAATATTGGATTCCCCCCTAGGAGAGGATGGGAGTACACAACCTTTATCTGCGAATGTACCGCATTCCTTCCATACCTGACAAAGAAGTTCCTGAATGCAGGGGGGGAACTGGAGAAAGTGAAGATCGAAGATCTGAGTTTGTTACAAGCCTCTCACGATATCATCATCAATTGTACTGGAATTGGATCCTCTGATTTAGTTCCCGATCCACTGGTGCACCCCCTTCGAGGACACCTGATACGAGTAAGTTCAACCCCACTAAATGATAGCCACGTGTCATCGATCAAAAACCAGAAGAAACTAAGCGAACGTGCATCTTGGTGCTGTTGCAGGTGGAAGCTCCATGGATCAAACGCGGTTTCTTCTCAGAAGAAAAGCCTGGCGAAAGCAGGGAGACATACTGGATTCCAAAGTAATTGAAAGATTTGAAGATGCTTCCTGGCGTTTCGTTCAGACAAGATACTTAAAAAAAAAGAACTATAATTTTCAATACTTCACCCCTAAGGTCTTAAAAATACTACAAGATACATGCTGGTCTTTTGGACTTACTTTATTTAAAAGTTTGTGCTGGTCTAATTACCGCTTCATTTTCTCTTCGCAGCATGGAGACTGTAGCGCTGGGAGGCACATTCCAGGCTGGAAATTGGAGTAGAAAGCCTGATATCAATGATTCCAATTTCATTGCATCTGGAGCAGCAGAATGGGAACCTTCTTTCAAGGTGATGGTGATTCAATTCTCCTGTACATATGAACGATGAAACGTGGCTTGTTTCCATCATAGGGAGCAAAAGTCTTATACGAGTGGGTTGGCTTGCGTCCTGGCCGAACAGGTGGAGTGCGACTTGAGTGGGACAATGATCACTATCAGGTGATGAAAGATACTTTTGTCACAATGAAAAAAGGTTATTGACGTTGCAGCTATTTATTTGAACTTTTTTCTTGCGAGCAGGTACTTCACAACTATGGCCACGCGGGTTCCGGGATCACCTACAGTTGGGGTTGCGCGAAAGAAGTGGTGCAACAAATTCGCATGCGGATCCCACGGTCACGTCTCTGAGTCATAAAATGCTTATGCATTGTTAATATATAGATAAAAAATAAATACTGACACAATAACAATAAAAAGTAGAGATCAATAATTCTCTGTGAAAACTTTGGTGCAGATCACGCACTGGACGGATATAAATCCAAATTGGATGGAGTTTGAGTTCATTGTGAGATGATATAGCCTTAAGAGTTGACAGGTGCATGACAAAGGGGGCAGGAGTGACGAACGGCCATGTCGGCTTCCATGGCTCGATGCCTGCATCTCACACAAGCCCAGGTCCCGGCTGTGTTGTATAATGGACGACCGGTCGCAGTGCAGACCGGGAAACGGGCGTTGCAGTTGGTGCAACGAGAAACGCCGTCTGTGATTTTAGTTTGACATTGGGGACAATCGGCTCGGGTGGATCGAGAATCTTTGGGCGTGTGACGCACGAAGATCTCCATGGCTAGGTCTTCATATTGCTGTCTGGCAATGGGATCGACCTCTGGCAGGGATTCCAGTTTGATGAAGGCCTTTGAGCAAGTGGCAAAGGCACGGTTGGCACATGAGGACAGCGCAAGAAGGCAATAGATGTCTTCGGGTGGTAAGATGTCCTCGTAGTCACGTAGAAGCAAGGCTGTCTTCATCGCGGCATCCACGTATCCTTCATAGAGCTGCCGCTGTGCCATCATGTAGAAATGATATGCTTCGGCCCCTCTCCATGGATTCTCCAATAGGACCATGTTTGCATCCATGGCGAGACCTTCCTGGAAACCGTCGTCCAGGCCCAGCAACGCCGAACTCCGAGAACCCTCAGAGGAGGACAAGTTCACCCGCAAGGCAGCACGATGCTCATCGACGAGGATTGCTGCCAACACATACATCTTTTTCAAAAGCGAGGGACGATTCTTGGCTGTGGCCTCGTCCTCAGCCATGCGAATGATCAGCTGTGCTGCTTGTATGTTCTGTGATGCTTTCCGGAACAATTCGACAGCCTCGAGGCGCTGTTCTTTTGCCAAAAGATGCTGTGCAAATTGAGCTAGGAGTTCACTTGTCTCCTTCACATCATGTTTTCTGGCAAGTTCAACTGCCTGCTGCCATCGACTGAGCGACACGCAGCAGTCGACTGCTTTCTTGACTTGCCCGCACCTCGTATATGCCCTAACGGCCTGCTCACACATGCCAACACCCTGAAACATGGATGCGAGTTCTGGGAGCAACTCATGATCGTCAGGGACGGCATCTAAGATCCGATCAAGTCCAGCGTAGTCTTCGAGCATGTAATAACACTTCATGAGGCGAGCCTGATTGGCCGCTTGCTCATAATAACCAGCTGCTTCTTTCCACTTCTGTCGATCATAGAAGTAATCGCCGAGGTTGTTCCAAGCATCCACCATTTGAGAATCCGTTCCGAGAGTACCAGCTTTTAGTAACTGAACCACATGAAAGTAATCACCCAGTTTTCGGCGCAACGTGATAGCCAGGTCACGGCGATCTACTTCCAGGTATAGACGCTCAGCCTCGTCAAACTGTTTGAAATATGCTGCAACTTCGGCTTTTCTCAGAGTCTCACTAGATATGTTTTGAAGCTTCTTTGTGAACTGTATCCCTGGATAGTCACGGCAGCGCACAAAGGCGGATTCTGCCGTCTCAAGATCAAGATTCTGAAGTGCAGCTTCGGCCAGGAGTCCCCAGAGTCTGGGGTGAGGATTCTCCTCCACGAAGTGAGCAGCCTCCTTGATACCAACTTTCTCGAGAAGATCACGAGTGTCTCTGAGAGACTTGGATTCCCGCTTCACTATCGAGTCGGCACTTGGACTGTCAGGATCCAACATTATTTCATCCAGGAGAACGGCAATGATCTCGAGATCCTTGAAGCTGCAAATGTACCCGGCCGAAGAGATGGGTTCCTCGGGATCCAGATTTCGGAATATGTACATGCGAGTTTTCTCCATGATAGCAAACAATTCTGGATTATCTGAGGCCCACTCGAGATCCCAGACATCCTTCCGATCGAATTTGAGAAAGTCACCGGCAACCTCTCGTCCCGTGGAATCCGATGACCTTGCTTCGAGATCGAGGAGCGTTAGCAACCCGGTCACATCTATAATGGCCATGCGACGGGAATTGGAATTCAGTTGAAGTTTGTAGGGACGTGTCGAAAGGCGGTAGGTGTTAGTAAAGGCAATATGGGGTAAAGTATAGCGTTGAACAACTCCAGATTCCCGGCCGACAACAAGTACCGTGTCGGAACAAGTCATGCAACAAATTGGGTCATTTGTCTGGTCTTCCTTGCGATTCTCCAAGGAGAGATCTGCAGTTCCTGATGGCGTGTCATCGACATGAAATATTCTCTCCCGTCTTGCTTCTGATCGCCCCAGAGTGACATCCAGAGTAGATCGGGCTTTCAGTGTCCCATACTGCCAGACGTAGACGTTGTCTCGCGATGCAGCAAATATGAGGCTCGAGGTCATAGCCACACATATGGGTTCGATATCTACATACTTGCTGTCAATCGGTGTGCCAATTGCATTGCAGAGAACTAATGCATGCTGTCCAGATCCATCCTCAAGTCTCGATGCCATGACACAATGATCGCCTGCCGCAGCGATCCCAATCAGTGACCGAACCTGTCTTACGTGATACTCCTGGGTGTTAATATTCCAAAACATCACTGATAGCTCATTCTGCTCTGGCTTGGTGAAGGAATAGACGACTGTGTTGGCAAAGTAACACCACTTGTAATCGGGTCTGATATTGGCAAAATAGATGTAGGAGTCAACGGCCAGGGCGATGCGCAGCGAAGTGCCTTCCCATGCGCAACCTGATATCTGTTTCCCTGGTACCTTCAAAGTACGCAAGTGCTCCCCAAATGGAGTATAAAACTGTACCATGTTGCACTCCTTTTCTTCAGGGAGTTTTTGCATCCCAACTACTGCGATGATGCTGCCGTTGTGATTCCACTGAATACCAACTGCTGTCATGCCCACATCGACCAATATAGGGATGTCATCATTTTCGTTCTTCATGATCTGCATCCGCCCATTGTCATAGCAGGTGGCAAGGACAGGGCAGTCTGGCTCAATGTGACCATTCTTTCCACTGTACCAATGCAAGCCAACAATATTGCATGATGTAGAGCCAACATTGGCTAAGCACTGAATGTTTAGCTTGCTGACAAAGCCTCCTGAATTATCATAAACATGGACCTCTCCATTGTCAATTGCAAAGAGGAGAAGCTTGGCATCAGGAGACCACTCCACATCCATCAGATGAACAGCTTTGAGTTCCTTTCCCCAGATGCGATTCCCATCCACTGATCCAACAATCACAGCACCATCTTCATACACAATGCAGATTTTCTGCCCATCAGCAGTCCATGCCATTCCTCTGACGACTGACTTGTTGCGATTATTGATCATTTCCTCATACCAGGAACCCTTGTAGAGCATCCAGACAATGATGAGGCCATAACTATCACTGCTGGTGAGTTTCTGGTGGGTTTCATTCCATGTGATGACTTGAATCTGGCCAGAATGCCCCTCTAGGGTCTGATTCATAGAAAGATTCGAAGGTGCAGCTAGGCCTTTGGCTATTCCTTCTTTCCCTGAGTTGAGATTCAGAACTTTGAGGAGGCCATCTTCCCCACCACATGCAATGAACCCTTGCTCCTTGTTCCAGGCCAAACATTTCAGTTTGGTGTTGTTTGGGATTGCAATCTTCTTGCTCAAGTAAATGAACATGGCACTAGATGTGTGATTCAGTCCTAAGAAAGGTATAACTAGCAGCCTTGGCTGTCTTTAGATCTTCCTGAAACAGAATAGAAATACATAGGGTGAGAGCATTCTACGTGCATAAATGGACAGAGAATGAGTTTTTTCCCATTCTTTCAGCTACGTATCAAAGCCAATGGAGATCATGACAGGTGCATGGCAATATTCTTATTGTATTTGCATGCTAGATCACTACCATAGGACCATTTAATGATAATCTACAGGGAACAGGATGCTTTGTGTTTCATTTCAGTTGTGTTTTTTAAATAATTAATATTAACAAGCATTGCATAACAGAAGTGCGATGAAGTCAATGTTAAAGTATTCTAATGCTTTGCCAGTCAATATGGGATGAACATTTTATATTAAGAGCACTGATAATGGTGGAAAAAATAGGTCCTGTATTTTTTCCCAACTCCTCTATGTCAATCCATACTATGTTTATGTCTAGGCATTGTCTGCCATAACTGTTAGGCCTAGGCTATGTTGGGGACACATCTAAACACTCCTACATTCTTTCCATACTTCAGAGGATCATTAAAAGCTGCAGTAAGGTTGGCTGGCTTGTGACACCTTTTGTCATCACAGTTGAGTGATGACTTTTGGTTCGTTATACATTCACTATCATCTTCTTTGATCCATAGGCCTAAGTCCTTGTTATTGCTAATTCATAAACCTCAATACTATAGACACTGCTTGTTCCCCTTTCCTAGAAAGCTCATAGATCTCAAGCCTTAACCTGATCAGATTCATAGATGTAGCATCCTGATTCTCACATCACACTGCTCTTACTTTGTTCGAGTCTCATGATTTCCAAAAATCTTGTAATGGTGCATCCTTCAATAAAGATACCACCTCCTTCTTTTAAATGTAAATACCAGACTACATTACAATACAGCAAGCCAGAAATGGTATGCCTCCTGTCACCCAGGTACAACAAAGAAGCTTCAAACTTCAACAAAACAAAAAGAAATAATTGCAATGGGTTCCTGTAGCATAGTGCCTAATACCATCACCATCACATGTGGAAGTTATTTATTTGAAACTGTTGCATCTGCATTGGCTTGGAAAATTGCACCTAAATCCCTAATTACTTACATCAACAAAAAAATCCTATGAACTCTTTCATTTTTTGACATACATCTATGTCAGTACACACTCATACCACTATATGTTGGTGGCCGTTTCAAAATGTACCACACTCTGAAGATATTCTTGAGTCATAAGAAGCCTTCCCAGTAATTGTTCCTAATGTGTATAGAAAGAAAAGGCTCTATTTACCAATTGTGAATCTCATGTAAAACAAACCCCACAGCACTGTGGAAGCATTGAAAAGAACTCCACAATGGATTACATTTAAAAATATATTTATAGCTACCTTGAACCACTTGAGGGCAGGATTGATTTTGGCCAAAAAATCACATATTTGTGAGATGTGGATTGTATTCACTTACTAAGTGGGATATTTCAGAATATGCAGATGAACTACCTTGAACTAAGCCTTAGGGGAATCCCTAAAGTCTTCCAAACTGTAATTATAGTAATAAAAACGCATTACAATTTGGAAAAATTTGCAGTTATAAAAGTCATCTCAAGTGGCTCTTTGTTTTCCATTTTATTTCTGAAGAGAAAACACCTCTTCTTTAATAATTTCTTAATACTTCAAGCATATACATATTACCTTGCCCTGATTGATCAAACATTTCCCCGAGTAGCTAGAATTTAAGCTACTTTTTAGAGCCAAATAAGCATTTATTTACCTACCTACTAAAATTGAATTACTAATCTTGGTAACAGTAAGCCAGAAACACAATGAATCTAAAGGAACTAACATTTCTAAAAATAAGGGACTGGCAAAATTCCCATCACTGTCTGATGTGTGCTGGGATGAATTAGATCTGAGCTTCACCTGAGATCACCGCAGCTTGCAATATGCCTGAAAAAGTCAGAAAAACTGACATCCAAGGCCGAACTACATTATCATCTTAACGTTGAATGTAGTAGGATGAGATTGATCTGTGGATCTGCTAAAATTCTCCATGAAAATATCCTAAAAGTCCCTTAATGGCTTGTAATGTTGGATCTAGGACATGCAAATGCCTCAGCTGACATACATGGTCCACAATCTCCCCACAATTAGCTTTTACTCGACCCTAACGTGTCTCCGGCTCATGTGTAAGGCACTCTTGGGCAATGAATAAAATTGTAAAGGCATGTAACATCACCAATTTAGATCTTATTCCATTCCCTCCCCCCTCTTCAACTAAATGCGATCGGGCTTCTATTGCACCAGAAGTGTATCGCGAAAGGTTCACATGTAATTGATTCGGTCCTGGGTCAGGCTTCACACATCGATCCGAAAGACATACGCCTACGAACACCGAAGGAGTACACGCGGTAGCAGGAGTCCGCCATCACTACCTTCCCCATGCCAGTGTTGCATATGTTGTCACTGGACTCAACTGTGGACCCTCAAGATTCTCAACTTCTGCGAATCTGTTGCAGCCCGTCTCATCTTAATTATTACGACTCAGAAAATGTCCCACAAGTTCTACTTTAATTTACTTTCTGGAAACGAACTAAGATTTGGATGATAAGATTTTTCAGGAAAAACCGGGGCATTTTCAAGAAAATCTCTCTTCCGATCCTTGACTCCAGAATTAACTCCCCTAAGATGATCCGGACTCCAAACTGAGATTGAAGGTGCGCTATTACTGCAAAGTTGACAAATTGCGCGTGATTTATTGTACAACCAACGGGAAAATATATGGGGGGGGGGGGGGAAGGAAAGCTGCCTCACGTAGGTAGGGATCTCAAAAGCGATTCATCACCCTTCCGGACTCTGGGGAACACCACGACTCACAAGCAATCCGTTGGGGTTCGAACAACCCCAAACACTACTTGAACGAAATACTGCACGATTACCGAACTCCAACACTCACGTCTGAACTGCGACAACCCACTGTCATACCCCACTGACCACGGTTCGTTGTCTCGCCTGACCGTCGTTACTGACTGCGACAGGGCGCGGAAAGGGAAAGTATGGACAGTTATTGCCACTCAGCGTGGAAACTGGGGGACTCTTCCCCCTCTACTAGTTACATCATAGGGCACAAGGAGGGCTCCACATGTTAGTCCGTGCAACGGGAAGAAATCGGGACGGAAAGGAAAATTCAAATCGGGACATAGTCTGAAAAACCGGAACTGTCCCGGTAGCATATATACAAACCCTCCTCGATCTCGGCACTCACTGGTAAGGCAGGTGAAGACGCGTGAAAGGTGCCTGACAGTCCACCGTCCTCTCTCTCTCGTAGTTCTGCACAATTGACTGGTATCCCAACTTGTGGACAAATAAACTAGCTTGGCACGGTTGGATAATTTGGCGATATACCCGCTTCTGTAAAAGTTCACCTAGGCATCTTCTATTCATCTATTTCTGTAATATATCCAGAGGAATTAATGGCCATGGGCTGATTAACATGACTTGCATGACGCGCTCATGTGGAAGCCACCTACTTATTAACAACCAAGGCATAGTATACTTTTGGGAGGGATATTTTTCTATTTCTAGGATCATCAATAGAGATGGCGCATATTTTGAGGATGCATGATAAAAAAAAAAGAGCCAATCACAAAGTATCATATCATGTAACCGCAAATTACTCTAGGATATCCTTGGCATGTCAGAATTGTAATGTGTTGACATTTTTCTTTGATGTTCAGTTCCTCCTGTTGTTGGGATGAGATGCATAATAATACACCTCCTGATCAGAGGTGCCGCATTATGGCCTATGGTATAACAGCCAGAGATTCTGTTTTTGGTCCCTCAGATCATTATACAGAGCGAGTCGAAAGTTGTGCCCAACTTTTGGTCTTTGATAACTTATGACTGAGTTTCAGATTACAACCCGGTTTATTTCATTCAAAAACCGATGAATATTAGTAAAGGAGGTGAAATCTCGGAGAGATGCAAAAGGGGTGAACCTTTGATAGGAAAAGCACATTAGGAAGCTAAATATTGCCAAATATTAAAATACTGTACATACAGGGTGACCCAAAAATACGTACGATTCTGAAAAATCACATTTTTGGTGGAACATCCCGAAGCGACTCAAGCTCTGCATCGATGCGGGAGGTGGACATTTTGAGCAAAAATGATGTTATTTTGATGATGTGGGTTGTATAGATGTTTATTTAACAAATTGTTTATAATAATGTTTGATATTTTGAATAAAGGATTTGATTTTTCGAAATCGTACGTATTTTTGGGTCACCCTGTACAACAGTTAGGATACAATGATGTTACTATTGACGATTGAAGACGAAAATGGTTTCTCACCATGCGACGACAGACATACTATGGGAGCACACAGATCAAAATCATGGATGCAGAAGACGGGACTCGAAAAGGCAGGGCAAGAAAAAAAAACAGAAATGAGAGTGCGTGATCAAGTCTGCCCATAATGCCTCGAGGCTATGGTTTTTCCCCCTCACGTCAACGTATCCTGTATTTTTCGCTAGCTCTCTATGAACCGAGTGGAAAGGCCTACGTGGTAGAGCGTCCGCGTACCGCCCGGGAGGTTGGGGTTCGATCCTGACTCCAGCCGCTCCCAACCCAGGCTTTATTGGGTACACCCTTTACCGTCCTCGCCAGGTACTCGGCGCTCAGTACCTGGCTTTTGAGGAGGAGGTGTGGTCTCCCACCCTGAGGGGGGAGGCCCCACTGGTAGGTTGCATTATTAATGCCGAAATAATAAGTATTCATTTCCGCCTATACAATCTCGACCCAAGGTTGAAGACGAACTTCTTCATGTTCGCTTAGAGAAAGAATAAGTCGTCGCTCGTAAACGTCTCGAAGATAATCCAGTGATACGGAAGGTATCACTGGATACATGGGCATATTTGCTCGTAGAAGGACCGTAAAAGGATGATGACAATTGATACTAGCTCACTAGTCCCTCAGGATAATC